AAGATAAAGTGTAAGGTACTACAATTATTTTTAAAGGTTTATTTTGAATATAGCTTCTCCCTGGCTGGTTTGGCTCAGCGGTTAGAGCATTGGCCTGCGGTCCGGAGAGACCCAGGTTCGGTTTCTGCTAAGGGCATGTACCTCGGTTGCGGTTTGTCCCCGGCCCTGGTTGGGTCGTGTGGGTGGCAGCCACTCGATGTGTCCCTTTCACATCGATGTTTCTCTCTCTCTCTCCCTCCCACTCTATCTGAACAAAAAATGGAAAAATGTCCTCGGGTGAGGATTAAAAAAAAAAGAATAACATTAAAGGCCCTGGCCGGTTTGGCTCAGCGGTTAGAGCGTCGGCCTGCGGTCCGGAGAGACCCGGGTTCAGTTCCCGCTAAGGGCACGTACTTCGGTTGCAGTTTGTCCCCGGCCCTGGTTGGTCGTGCAGGTGGCAGCCACTCGATGTGTCCCTTCACGTCGATGTTTCTCTCTCTCTCTCTCTTCCTCTCTCTCCCTCCCACTCTATCTGTACAAAAAAAGGAAAAATATCCTCGGGTGAGGATAAAAAAAAAAAAAAAGAATATAGCTTCTTACCAGTGATAAATCCCTAGAGCAAATAAAAATGATTGCTCTATACAATGGAATATGATTCACCAATAAAAAGGAATGAATTACTGAAATAATCTATGACACGTATTAACCTCAAAAACATTATGCCAAATGAAAGAAGCCAGACACAAAAGCTTACACATTGTATGCCCCATTTATATGAAATGTCTAGAGACAGAAAGTAGATTAGTGGTAAGGAAGAAAAGGAAGGAGTGACTGATAATGGGTACAGGGTTTCAAAAATTTTATAAAAAACAGATCATGGTGCCGGCTGCACACCTCTGTAAAAACCACTGAATTGTACATTTTATTTATTTAATTAAAAAAAATTTTTTCTTTATTATTTTAGAAAGAGAGAAAGGGAGAGGGAGAGAGAGATAGAAACATGGATGAGAAAGGTCGATTGGCCACCTCCTGTATGCCCCCACTGGTGATCGGGCCCACCACCTGGGCATGTGTCCTGACTGGGAATCGAATCAGCGACCTCTTGGGGCATGGGTCAACGCTCAACAACTGAGCCACACTGGCTGGGCGAATTGTACATTTTAAACTGGTGATTTCTATGGTATGTATATTACATCCCAATAAAGATGTTAAAATAAAAAAAAATTTTAAAAAGGTGGCCACTGGCCTGGGCTCCACACATACCACAAAACAATGGGAAAGTAATGCTCTTTTTAAGTCTATGGAACTAAAAAGACAAACTAAGTGACAATCCCCAGCTTACTATATCAGGAAACTATATTACATTAATAGTTTCCAAAGATATAGTCGGCCCTCGTTTATCGCAGTTAATAAGTTCCAGACTCTTGCGCGATAAATGAATTTCTGTGAAGTAGGGTTCTTTAGTTATACTCAGTGGTCCCTCGCCACTTCGCGCTTTCACTTTCACGACTTCACTCCGTCATGGTTTTTTCAAACACTATACTATATTGGAAAAAACCACGATACAGTGAAGCTGCAAAAGTCGAAGCGCGAAGTGGCGAGGGACAATCGTACTGCTAAAATGACAACTATCAAAATATTCTTAGTAAGCTATTTTTTGAAGGAGATCAAAAATAAAATCCTTCCAGGAATCCTATGAATATATTTCAATCAATTTCCTTCTTTTGTATCTTGAAAATCAAACATATCAGGATGTGGCCATATCATGACCTTTCCCACTATCCTATCCCTTCCATTTTTGAATATCTGATCATGTAGAGGCAAAATGTTCAAGTTTAGTAAATGTGTGGTAACATCTTATCACAATTTACTCCTTAGACTTCCAAGTATTTCCTATCTGACTATCAGAACATTTTCATTAATTCAAACTTTTGCTTTGTCTATCATATATACATTTCTGGCCCTGGCTGGTTTGGCTCAGCGGAGAGAACATTGGCCCACGGACCAGTGAGCCGAGGGTTCGGTTCTCGCTAAGGGCACATACCTTGGTTGCAGTTTGTCCCCTGCCCCAGATGGGGTCCTGTGGGTGGTGACCAGTCGATGTGTCTCTCTCACCTCGATGTTTCTCTCTCTCTTTTCCCCCCTCTCCCTCCTGCTCTTTCTGAAGATAAATGCAAAAAAAAAAACATGTATGTTTCTGGACTACTAGCTTCATCTCACATTAAAAAGAAATAAACTACAGACTGGCAAAATCACCATTCTCATCCAAAATAGGACAGTTAATAGAGGATAAAGCAGCAGAGAATTCCAAAAATTTTATGCAATGCAAATAAAATATGGCAAACTCACCATAACTCATCCTTATTAGTAGTAGGAAGGACCCTACCAAGAACTAGCATACTAGTTAAAATGGGCTCGCCTTTGTAATGGAATGAGGAAGAAAGTAAGGCTGTGGTTATGAACACCAAGCACTCAGTGAAATGAGGAAGTGGCAACAATTGTACCTGCATTTTATAATCCCAGGCATACCCTTTCCCTCACTTCTTTCCTGCTTAACACTTTAAAATTTGCCTATCTCTAGACTACATCTAATCCAGCATCAGAAAACAAACAAGATCTATCATAAAGCTGAAGGATCTTTTCTTTCCTTCTAAAAGTAATCAAAGAATTTATTTGCACATATGCATAGCCCATACATAGCTTCAGACAATAGTGTGGTGAAGGCTTGGGTGGGGGTGGGAGGGGGAGGATGGGGAATATCTGTAATACTGTCAATGGTAAAAAATAAATTTAAAAAAATTAAAAAGTAATACTTCTCATTATTTCCTCCAAGAAGTATTTCCTGATTAATCCTATGCTACTCAGTTTACTTTTTTGTTCTTAATCTGCATACAATTCAAGCACGATTTACCCGAATAGAGCTTTGCAAAGGCCCTTCAGTTCTAAGTGTTAGTTTCTTCAACAAAATTAGAAATTACTTAAAAATAAAACTTATGTGTTCTAATTCTTTCACAAAGACTTAAGTACACATAGATAGCCCCAGGACTTAAACAGTCAGTTTACCCTGAAACATGAAACAAGTTCCAAAGATACTGTATTCATTCAGTGTAATTCTGATGAATCTCCTCCCTTCCTCCCTCCCTCCCTCCCTCCCTCCCTCCCTCCCTTCATCCATTCATCACACTTGACCAAACACCAGCTGTGCAAACTCTATGGTCATTCCCCTGCTCAAAAACTGCCCAGGACTCCTCAGTGCCTACCAAACTTCTTAGTTTGAAATTCAAAACACAATTTCTCATACACCCACGATTCCAGGTTCTCCCAAACACTGCTCATGCCTTTGACTACACTATCCTCTCAGCCAGGAATGTTCTCTACTGCAATCAGCTCGACCCTCACCTCTACTTCTCCCTGTCAGTTATCAGGTCTCTACAGTGTGTTGACACTACCTTGCTGCCACTACACCTGCCTCTCTCCTCTAACACCCCAGAAAAGTGAAATGTATGAAAGACAAAAAGAATCTAACTTGGATTTCCTTCCCTAATTAAATACATTCCCTGGGCTGCAGGACAACCTCTCTATACTTCACATGCCAAGAACAAGTTTCTTTTTTGTAAAATCAGGCATTTTCACCCTAACTTTATTTATTTTCGAGAATATATGTATATTGTACAAAACTCCAGAGGTGCAAAGGAGTGTAGAGAGAAAAAGGAAGTGAACTAGGTCTTCCTCCCCAGAGACAACATTATCACTTCTATTTACCATTACTAATGCAAGATTGTTTTCTATTATAAACAGAGTAGTTCAGGCACATTCTGCTTTAGTGCTTGTTTCTTTGGGGAGAGAAAATGACCTGTGAACCAGACATTTAGGTATAATGTGTCTATAAGAAAACACATCATGAATTCTAAAGAACAAAATCTTTCTTTTCAGATGACTGTGGACACAACCTGGGATACAGTATAGTATTGTAAACAGAAAAAACATGGGTTTTGGCTCTTTACCAATGTGTGTCCGCATACTAGCTCAAAAACTAGGCATCTTAGGAAACATTACTTAACTTGTGAATTTTAGCTTTCTTACCCATAAAATAGGAATAGGTTCTTATGATGATCATATTAAAAATATGTTAAATGTTGCCCTGGCCAGTGTGGCTCTGTGGTTAGAGTGTCAGCCTGCAGACCAAGGGGTCAAGGGTTCGATTCCCGGCCAAGGGCACATACCTAGGTTGCAGGTTCAAGCCCCAGTCCAGGTTGTGCTGGGGGGGAGGGCAACCAGTCAATGTGTCTCTCTATCTGCCCCTCCCTCCTTTTCTCCCTCCCTCCCTTCTACTCTATCTAAAAATCAATGGAAAAATATCCTCCAGTGAGGATTAACAAAACAAAACAAAGTTAAATGCTTTAGTTTCTCCATGCCTTTAACCTTGTTTCCAACTTTCTTTGTGGAGTGTTTTCATTTAACTGCATCTGGAATATGTTTATTTTTAATTTTTTTTCTTTATTGATTTGAGAGAGAGAGGAAGGGAGACGGAGAGAGAAACATCGATGAGAGAGAACATCAATTGGCCACCTCCTGCATGCCCCCCCAATGGGGATCAGGACCACAACCTGGGCATGTGCCCTGACCAGGAATCAAACCAGGGACCTCTTGGTGCATGGGCTGACGCTCAACCATTCAGTCACACCAACCAGGCTGGAATATTTTTATTTTATTTTAAAATATGTTTTATTGATTTTTTTTTAGAGAGGGAGGAAGGGAGAGAGAAATAGAAACATCGATCTTGCTGCCTCCTGCACACCCCCACTGGGGATCAAGCCCACAACCTGGGCATGTGCCCTGAGCGGGAATCAAACCCAGACTTCTCAGTCCATGGGACGATGCTCAATCCATTGAGCCACACCAGCCGGGCTGGAATATTTTTATCTTAATGTATATCAAATATCCAAAGAAAAAACAGTGAAATTACCAAGAGTTTTATAAAAGGCTTCCATTCACAGAAATAAAGATTATCTAACAATTACCTTTTGCTCTTCTCTTTCTGTTGCATAGTGACACTTTTCAATTCTCCAATGCCTCAAGAAATCTCGAAGGTATCCAAAGAGGGTGAGTACACCATACCCCACATAAGTAAGCACAGCAACCAGCATGGGTGTTTCCTCAAAAGCTTCGTTAAATGGTCTTTTATACAGTCCTCCATTCTGTGTAACATGATGGATCTGAAAGGGAGATTTAAAATGCTTATTTCAATCACACTAAGAAAGACTGCTACTTAAAATCTAAGTAGTCTTTACAGATTTGTATAACTATAGCTTCAGAATTCTCTAAGTAAGTTTTTTAAAAGCCCACTAAGATCTAAGCAGGGCATATTTCTTTTCAATAGAAATAAGTTACATATAATTCAGATGAAGAGCAAACAAAGACAAACAGAGGAAGAGGTGCTGCCTAAGAACAATGCCTGGTTTCTATCATTACTCAATTTCATGAAATGAATCCTAAAATACTATGGTTGGAGAAGACATATTTTCCTTTGTTCTAATAAAGAAAACAAGAACATTTTGTAAAGTATGTGATTATCTAACCACTATGCTGTACACCTGAAACTAATACTACTGAATGGAAACCATAATTGAAAAAAATAAAGAAAACAAAAATATAAATCAACAAAGAGTAAGCCTATTCTGAAAAATAGTATATTAGCTTATAAATGAAGTGATCAAAAGTAAATTCAGTTTTGGAATAAAATAAGACATTTGTAAATGCTTTCCTGCTCTATGTTCTTAAAGCCACTCAGCCACAGTATCCCAAATACCAGCATTAGGCCCCTGTGAAAACACACAAAATGTTTACTTTTGTGAGTGGTCCAGCACTGTATAAAAGTAGAAAGTGGCCCTGGCCAGTTTGGCTCAGCGGTTAGAGCGCCGGCCTGCGGTCCGGAGAGACCCGGGTTCAGTTCCCGCTAAGGGCACGTACTTCGGTTGCAGTTTGTCCCCGGCCCTGGTTGGTCGTGCGGGTGGCAGCCACTCGATGTTTCTCTCTCTCTATCCCTTCCTCTCTCTCCCTCCCACTCTATCTGTACAAAAAATGGAAAAATATCCTCGGGTGAGGATAAAAAAAAAAAAAGATTAAAAGTAGAAAGTGAAATCCAACACAAGGGGAAAAACTGTTACAGTGATCAGTAACTGTTATGAAATCATTCTGCCCCCTTCATCTAAGTGTCCATTCAAACACTGTAAGAGTATTCCTCGTTTCATTCATCCTTTGGGGTACTTGAATTTTTTTTTTTTAAGTCCTCACCTGAGGACATTTTTGCATTTATCTTCAGATAGAGTGGGAAGGAGAGAGGGAGAAAGAGAGAGAAAAACATTGATGTGAGAGAGACACACTGAGTGGTTGCCATCCACACGACCCCAACTTGGGGTCAGGACAAACTGCAACTGAGGTATGTGCCCTTAAGGGGAACCGGACCTGGTACTCTGCAGTCCGCGGGCCGACGCTCCAACCACTGAGCCAAACCAGCCAGGGCCCCACTAGAGCATTTTGTATGTTAACCTGAATCTTTTTTGAAACAACTGAGAGCAGTAAGGACGGTTCATCAGAATTTACCAGGTGCGTATTTTTCACTTGAGCCCTAACCAAGAGTTATGAAAAGTCCCAAAGGAATAAGATTCTTGCCCTCTCAGGCAACCTGATCAGAGATATGATGTAAAATAATAAGAACAAATTAATAAAAAGTTACGAAACTATGCAAACTAACACACACACACACACACACACACACACACACACACACACACACCCAGGGCTAAATATGTTTTAGAATACTGTATCCTGATGTTAGTTTGGGAAAGCTACTTAAATGCTGCAAGTTAGAACAGTTTGGAAAAAAGAGTTGTCTTTGAAAAAGGAAAAACATTCAGATAGGCATGATACATGAATCTGTTGGTGCTGATTCAATTTCATGGCCTAAAGAACTTATGAGAACTATTTGTAAAACTGGTTTAAGTCTTCATCAATCTCTTCTCCAAAGGGGTGTAAGTTTGTGTCAATATATAATACTTAAACTTTTATGCAGAAGTAAGATTGCAATGTTTAGAATAGCTAGCAATGAGCCAATATCTGAAGATAGAAGGTTATTTCAAAATTAACAATGTAACACATAAGCTATTAAGCTGAACAAAAAATCAAAAGCACTCAAAACACACACAAAAAATAACATTCTGATCATTTCTCTTTTTTTTAATCCTCACCCAAGGACATTTTTCCATATTTTGTTCAGATAGAGTGGGAGGGAGAGAGAGAGAGAGAGAGAGAAACATCGACGTGAAAGGGACACATCGAGTGGTTACCAACCGCACGACCAACCAGGGCCGGGGACAAACTGCAACCGGGGTATGTGCCCTTAGCAGACACCGAACCCGGGCCTCTCTGGACCACAGGCTGACGCTCTAACCGCTGAGCCAAACTGGCCTGGGCCTGATCATCTCTTTAAAGAATTATATCTAAAAATACTTTGCCATACCAGTACCCAACTCTCCTTAACTCTGAAATTGTTTAAACTATTCTCTCTCAATTCAACATAAAGTAAAAAGTGAGGCAATTTTCAGAGCTCCTAAGTCTACCAAATGTGTAGCAGATTTATATGTCAGGAATGCTGTGGGTGGATCTCTTTAAAAGATATCTGCCAGGATTTGAGACACACCCAACCAGCAGGACCAAGTAAATGCAAACAGTTGGTTGGACTGTCTAGGAAGGAGGAAGTTAAGCCATTAGTTTGCTTTTAAATACTATGTGATTCTATCACAGCCACATTTAAAATTAAATGCATTTAAAGGAATTGAGATGTGGCCTCAGTCAAAAACACAGGTCACTCTTCTGTTTCACTGAATCTGCTGCTGATCCCATCTAGCACAGTCTTCATTTCAGTTATTATAGTCTTCATCTCTGCCTGGGTTTATTTATTTATTTTTAATGGTTTCTCTCTTTGTGTAAGTTCTCACTGAGTTCATCTATGTTTTCCCTAAGTTCACTGAGCATCCTTATAACCAGTTTTGAACTCTTTATCTAGTAGATTGCTTGTGCCCATTTCATTAGTTCTTTTTCTGGCGTTTGTTTTGTTCTATCATTTGGAACATGTCTGTATCCTCATTTTGGCTGCCTCCCTGTGTTTGTTTCTACATATCAGGTAGGTCTGATATGTCTTCCAGTCTTGGCAGAGTGGCCTTGGTAGCAGTGTCCTGCGGGGCTCAGTGGTACAGTTCCCTGGTCACCTGAGATGGGTGTTCCAGGAATGTCCCTTGGGGGGTTTATGTGTACTCTCCTATTGTAGTTGAGCACTGATTGTTGTTGGCTCATCAGTGAGTGGTACTGGCCTTTAGGCTAACTGGTTGATGACTAGTCAGGACAAACTGTTGTGGGGGGGGAGCTGACCCCACAGAGTGGGATTCGCTTTAGTGGGACTCTGGTGCCTGCTGGAGTCTACCCTTTGGTTGTGTGTGGAGCAGGTTGGGTGAGGCTCTGGTGAAAAATACAGGTCACTCTGATTATGCAAGGTCAGAATGGACAGCCTAACTGATATGCAAACTTCTGAAAAGTTTTAAAAAAGTCTCAGAACTCAGAGAGAACAAAATTATATTAATTTTCAAGTACTGGTGCCAAATGTTATCTCTGACATTAGCATCTTATACACAGTACATACATATACAGTGGTCCTTTAGGGAAAGCACCAGGCTTATTATTGTTTTTAATCCGCACCTGAGGATATTTTTCCATTGATTTTTTTTTCAGATAAGAGTGGGAGGGGAGGGAGAGAGAGAGAGACAGAAACTTCGATGTGAGGGAGACACATCACTTGGCTGCCTCCCACATGACCCTGACCTTAACTGAGAATTGCCCTTGACTGGTACGTGCCCTTGACTGATACTGCCCTTGACTGGGAATTGAACCTGTGATCCTTCAGTCTGCAGACTGATACTCTAGCTGCTGAGCTAAACCAGCCAGGGCACCAGGCTTATTTTGCTCATTATTACACATCTAGCACTGAGGATGGCTATTTATTAAGTGCTAACAAATAGTAAGTACTCAATAATGTTTCCTTTTATTACCATCAGTATTACAGAAAGCAGCACTCTATGGGATATTTGATGAATGAATGAAAATACATGTTATTATCACTCCTCAGCCTTTTGGCTAAGATCGAGTGCAGAGGTCTACTTTTATCAGTTTAACATCTGTTATATCCTCCATCCGAGGACAATACAGCAAACAGATGTCTGCAGCAGGGAGATGGACTAGGAGCTGCTCTGTCTGCACTGCACATCAACTGGATATTGCAGTAGATCTCCGGGAACAGTGCAGGAAAAAAAGAAAAGAAAATACACATTATGCTCTTTGCTCTTTAAAAAATAGGTGCCGCCCTGGCCAGTTTGGCTCAGCGGTAGAGCGTCGGCCTGTGGTCCAGAGAGACCCGGGTTCGGTTCCCGCTAAGGGCACGTACCTCGGTTGCAGTTTGTCCCCTGCCCTGGTTGGGTCGTGCGGGTGGCAACCACTCGATGTGTCCCTTTCACGTCGATCTTTCTCTCTCTCTCTCTCTCTTCTCTCTCCCTCCCACTCTATCTGAACAAAAAATGGAAAAATGTCCTCGGGTGAGGATTAAAAAAAAAAAAATAGGTACCATGTTAGAAGGGGTTAAGTAAGTTGCAGTGATTATATAATTAATATTAGGACATTTCTAGAATCTAGGTCTGATATTGTTTAGTCTCAACTGAATTGGAGACCAGGTTCACTCTAAACAAAACACAGGCTACAAACTCATACAGTGTTAACAAATTCTGGATTCACCATGCAAGAGAGCTCTTAAGGGGCCTTTCATTCATTCTAACTTAAGAATTACACTGTCAACAAAGCAATCAAGAAAAATACAAGCATATCAGTCCCTCCAGGTTAAAAAAACAGAGAGTCTGTCTACATTAAGCAGACAAAAGTATGACACTGTTCGTAGTGTTACTAATCAAGGGGAGATATAAGAACTCTAATCAATACCAAGATGTACTTGCTTAAGCATTGTTATTTTTCAAGAAAATGCAAAAAAAAAAAAAAGGGGGGGGGCAAAGGAAGACATTTTTCAGTCGAGACTATAAGCACATCACCATAAAACACATTAGAGAACAAATACCATACTTCTAGGTCACTGAAAAGGCACTCTCAACCAAAGCAATAATGGGATGCGGTATAATCAAAAGATAGAAACACAAACTTTATATGCACTGAAATCGTCTGGAAGGAGACACAAGAAATGAGTGGGGAGTGGAATGGGGAAGGAAGCATATTTCCTACTTATAACTCTCTGAATTGATTTTTCATTTTTGTTTTTAAAATGTTTAAACTAAATTTCCTCACTGATTTTATTCACTATTTGGACTAAAACAGAGTTAATAAAAGCACAATATACCTCTTATCCTAACCTCAGGTCATCTCACAGTCTACAGACACTAGAAAATTCTCACCCAATTGTTAGATCTCAAATGGACTTGACAAGCTCTTGAGTAAACACAAATCTACATTTCAATCCCCAGAACTCCCCATTTACATTTCCACCTGCCTCCTACATAGCCCCACCGAGCTCAACAAGTCTGAAGCGGACCTTATCTCAACATCTTAACTCCTCCCTCAACTCAAAACTGATCCTCCTCTCCTGTATTAGTACCTGGTTGACAGAATCGCCATCCAGTCTACCCAGTCTCCCAAGTTTGGAGTCATCTTTACCTCCACCTTATTTTCTAGCTTCCATCTAAAAGTAGTAATGAATTTTCAAGCCTTAGTTCAAGACTTTCTCATGAGGCAACAGGGAGTTTTAAGGAGGTTGGAGATGTTGGAGGTACTGGAGACACAGTATGTATACAGGTATAACATCATGGAGCTGTACAACTAGCATATTTCATGCACTTAACTGAATGTGTGTTACTTCTCAATTTAAAAAACAAAACCTCAATGCCTCTTCCTTCAGTGAACTTCTGCAACACCCTCCTTCCCATAGAGTCTCCCTGCCACCAAGACCCTCCCCACACTCCAATTATCCTTCCAGTCACACCAAACTTCTTACCACAGTCTTTCCAAAAAGAATCCTCCTCTACAAGGAGTGAAAATCTTCTAACAGTGGTAAGTCAATGACTAGTGTCCAACCCTGAAAAGTCAAGAAGCAGTAATATAAACATGTTAGTGAGAATATGAGGTAAACTCCAAAAGAATCTGCTCAAATAGAAAGTAGTTACTTCTGAAGATGGAGAAGAGGGGTAGAAGAGACCAGAAGACTTGTATCTTTCAAAACAAGCCTTGTGGAACTGTCTGATGCTTCAAACCAAGTACTACAGGTAAGGGTTGCTAGTTCCTAGGTCCTACAGCACTGGATCACAGAGCTATTTTGGCTGTGAATGTACACTATTTCCAGGACAAGAAAAGAATGACTCCAACAATTCAGAGATCATCAGGGTGCCGGGGGGAACTTTCCTCAGATTCAACCATTCAGAGTAGCAGCCTGGACCATGGGGGATTGGGACAGGGGTCACAGAACTCCATACTTCAACAGGTCCAGAGGGCAGGGCATGGGGGCGGGTATCTCGAACCAAAAAGCATTATTCTTTTTCTGTTTGTTAATCCTCACCCCAGGATATTCCCTCCACTGATTTTTTAGAGAGAGTGGAAGGAAGTGAGGGAGGGAGGGGGGTAGAGGGACAGGGAGGAAGAGGGAGGGGGACAGAAACATTGATAGGAGAGACACACATCGATTAGCTGCCTCCCAAATGCACTCCAAGGGACTGGGGCCAGGGATCAAACCTGCAACCTAGATACATGTCCTAGACTGGGAATCAAACCAATGCTCTATCTACTGAGGCACACTGACCAGGGCCAAAAAAAAAAAGATTATCCTTGAGCCTTAAGATCTCATGAAATTTGCCTTGCTAAATTTTGGACTTGGTTGGGACCCGTTACTCCTCTCTTCCCTCTGATGTCTCCCTTTTGGAATGAAATTGTCTATCTTCAATCTGTCCAAACACAGTATTTTGGAAGCATGTAACTTATATGGTTTCACAGGTTCACAGCTGGAGAGGAATTCTGTCTCGGGGTAAATTACCTTGCATCTCATATCAGATTTAAATGGTATTTAGATGAGGCTTTGGACTTGAGATTTCAGAGATGATGCCAGAATGAGTTAAGACTTTGGGGGCTACTGGGATGGAATTCATCTATTTTGCATGCAAGAAGGACATGATTTGGGGGAACCCATGGGCACAATGTTATAAGATAAATGTTTGTGGCAACCCCTCCCCCCAAATGTGATATTTGAAGGTGGGGCCCTTGAGAGGTAATTAGGTTTAGATTAGGTCATGAGGGTAGGACCCCCATGATATGATTAGGGCCCTTATAAGAAAAATTAGCAGAGATCTCCACTGAGGAAAGGCTATGTAAGCATACTATGAGAGAGGGGCCATCTGCAAGCCAGAAAGAGGACCCTCACAAAAATCAAATCTTGATTCTTGGACTTCTTGGCCTCCAGAACCATAAGAAATAAATGATGCTGAATCTCCCCAGTCTATAGTATTCTGTTTCAGCAGCCTGAAATATGACAGAGGTAAAGAGACATAATGCATACAATGTACTCTCAATTGGTTTAGGAAAAAAATTACCATGTGTTTCTGCATTTGCACATGTATAAAGGGAATAACAGAATTTTCTTCATAGACCGTTTGTGAGTCAGCTGTATTTAGAATGCACCTTTAGCTTTTTTTTTTTTTAATCCTCACCCGAGGACATTTTTCCATTTTTTGTTCAGATAGAGTGGAAGGGAGAGGGAGAAAAACACTGACGTGAAAGCCCGCATGACCCCACCAGGGCCGGGGACAAACTGCAACCGAGGTACGTGCCCTTAGCGGGAACCGAACCTGGGCCTCTCTGGACCGCAGGCCGATGCTGCAGGCCGATGCTCTAATCGCTGAGCCAAACAGGCCAGGGCACAGAATGCATCTTTACCTTTTAATACTTCACTGTGCATATCTTCAAAACAGACATTCTTTTTTTTTTAATGCTCACCTAACGATAGAGTGGGAGGGAGAGAGAGGAAGAGAGAGAAACATCGACATGAAAGGGACACAGAGAGTAGCCGCCTCCCACACAACCCAACCAGGGCCGGGGACAAACTGCAACCGAGGTACGTGTCCTTAGCGGGAACCAAACCTGGGTCTCTCTGGACCGCAGGCCGACGCTATAACTGTTGAGCCAAACTGGCCAGGGCCAAAACAGACATTCTTATATAACTACAGACCAATGAACAAAATCAGAAAATTGATAGACTACTAATAACTAACCTGCAGACAATTTTGCCATTTGTCCTAATGATGTCCTTTACAGCAAAAGAAAGTCCCGGATCACCCTGGCTAGGTGGCTCAGCTGGTTGGAGCGTCATTCCCATACGCCAAAGTTGGGGGTTTGACCCCCGGTTGGGGCACACACAGGAGTCAACCAAGGAATGCACAGATAGGTGGAACAACAAGTAGATGTCTCGATGTCGTGCGCTCTCTCTTTCTCTCTCAAAAATCAGTAAATAAAAAATGTTAAGTAAAAAGAAATTAGGAAATAATAAAGTCCTGGATATGTGGCTGCATTCTGTCTCTTTAGTTTCAGAAAAGAAAAAAAAAAAGATAAGTTTTGTTTACACTGTAATCTGACTTGGATGGCATGGTCCTGAGCAGAGGTTTCAAGAATCCCATGAAAGGACACAAATAACAGTGTAATGATACAATAATGAGAAAGTGATTATTGGGAAACAGAGCATACACTTCTAATGTGAATACAAAACCACATAGGCATCTTTTTTTAAAGCAAATAAATGTGACAGTAGGGTGACAGAACCTGCCCTATCACCACAGAAACTGCCCACCTGATGGACAATTTGGAACATTGTATTTTTAAAAAATTAATGTCCAATACAAACTACTCATTATTCTTCAACAATCAAAGGACTGTTACTATGCCTTTTCCAATATATAAACCCTATTCATTTCCAATGGTATAGCCTCTTGTTCCCTAAAAGAAGTTTTGCTGAAATGGCTTTTCTTGGAATTGCACTGCAATGTACTGGCCTCTCCCTACTGCATACCATGCATACTAGAGAAAATAGTTCAGAGTTTTGTGCCTGTCACACAAGCTAGTCCGTGTTCTGAATGTATATTTTCAGAAGTGTTTTGTTTTTGAGCACATTTTAAAAAGTAGGGAGCACACTTTTTTTTTTCTTGCAAAACAGGATAAATTCCCTAATTTCTGTCAATAAATATTTCATATGAAAAGCACTGAAAAGTGCTTCCAAAGCTATCTGTAAACAAATTCATATTTTGACATTACTACTTTCCTACCGAAAACCCAAAAATGGAGACCTCAAAGGATACGTGCACTGCACTGGGCATGGGTGTGACCACTCTCACTTGCCACCCACATCTCCTCTGCTGCACTTTCCTATCCCTAGATAACATCATGGCATAACTGACGATGTAATAGTCAGATCTGAATGCCAGTGTAGCTCTGCCACAAAGGCTGCATCGCCAGCAGAGCTCTCTTCCACCTCCAACGTGTTCTGGGCCTGTAACACCACACCCTCCACTCAGTACTCCACTCACTCCACTCAGGTTTTGTAATGGACACCAGCTGGACAGGCAAACCAGTTGACATCAATTTCTCCTCTCTGGGAATACGCCCTGATACATAGGAGTGGGCTCCTGGGGTCACATCTGTGCAATGTGACTGACACAGGGTAAGCACCTATGTCAAAATGAACCCAACAACCCCTCTCATTGGGATTTAAGAGTCTGAAGGGCACTGGACCAACATCCTGGAGGAAAAGGTCCATAAACTCCTGCCACTAAGGTCCCAATTGCTGTACCATGTATTGGACTTCTGATTTTCTGAGACTTAGATGTTTAATCAGTTCCTCCCTGGTCCTGTTTTTTGTTTGTTTGTTTTGCACACCTATCATCCTTGAAATAAATCAACTTTTTGTTTAGCTAGAGTCAGTTTCTGCTGTTATCAACTGAAAGAACTCTAATACAGATTTTATGTTAAAATCCCTTAGAACTTCTTTCATACACTTACTGGGTATTTATATGTTAATAGCCTGCAAAAAGTCATTTTTTAAAAAATGGCTCCCAACTTTGTCAATGTTGTGCATTTGGAACACTGTTTACTATCTTATCTAGGATAAGGGCTACCTGGTTCAAAATTGTTAGTAGGTACTTCCCTATATTGACGGACATCATATTCTAATTGCCTGCTACAACTAACCTCTCCTCAGGTTCTCATTAATACACATGAAGACAGACCCCCCATGCCAAAAAAACCCTCAGAACTAGTATTTAAAAAAGGGCAACAGAAGACCATAAATAAAAATTTAGACAGTATCTAACTACAGAGAACATACTCATAACCATTAAACAAGACTAACTCTTTCACGGCAAGAACAACCTCAAACAAAAAGTATTCAATTATTGCCCTGGCCGGTTTGGCTCAGCGGTTAAAGCGTCGGCCTGCGGTACAGAGAGACCCGGGTTCGGTTCCCGCTAAGGGCACGTACCTCGGTTGCAGTTTGTCCCCGGCCCTGGTTGGTCGTGCGGGTGGCAGCCACTCGATGTGTCCCTTCACGTCGATGTTTCTCTCTCTCTCTTCCTCTCTCTCCCTCCCGCTCTATCTGAACAAAAAATGGAAAAAAAAAAATGTCCTCGGGTGAGGATAAAAAAAAAAAAAAAAAAGTATTCAATTATTTAATACAAGACTTTAGGAAAACTGACTATTTGGAAAAATAACTAGTGAGAACTACCCTTTTGCACATACAGCACATGTCTCCAACAGGTAGTTCTATTACAGTCTAATCAGTGATCACAGGCCAGGTTTCTCAGCTCAGCTTCTTGGCATTTCAAATCAAGGTGAGAAAGGCAGGCATGGCAAGAAGTCAAGCACCAACCAGCATCTCACAGCATAAACCCCTTGTAAGACTATGGGAAGTGGTGCTGCAGAAGTCATTACTGGCCATGCTGCTCCCGAGAAGAGTTATTGGAAAGAGGACTAAATACACTGAAGTGTATCTGTGCCATTTCCAGACCACTAGGAATGTCACTGGCCACTTCCTACTCTTCCTCAGGAGCTGTCAACCCTTCCTAGTAAGAACACTCAGTAAGCCCCTATTGTTTTTAACACCTGTAAATGTGAAACACTAAGAATTATTTCTAGCCCTGATTGGTCCGGCTCAGCAGTTAGAGCGTCAGCCCGCAGACCAAAAAGGTTTCGGGTTCAATTCCGGTCACGGGCATGTACTTCAGTTGCGGTTTGTCCTGGCCCTGGTTGGGGTCGTGCAGGAGGCAACCAGTGGATGTGTCTCTCTCACAATGATGTTTGTTTCTCTCCCCCTCCCCCACTCTATCTGAAGATAAACAGAAAAATATCCTTGGGTGAGGATTAAAAAATTATTATTACTATTTCTAGGGTTTCTTAAGTAGCACATGTACCACAACCTATTTCTCCTATATGTTTATAACATTATTTTGGGAAACTGGTTTTCGTCAACCAGCAAGTAAATATGAAATATCATACTAAAATTAATACAAAAAAATAGAGATAAATACATACTCAACACCTAGATTTTTCAAAAGTTAACAAGTAGTTTATATGCCTTAGAGATTATTTTTTCCATAAAATAAAACACTGAAGTTACCATTCATTCTTTCATTCATTCATTTACTCCATTAATACTCACTGAGCCCCTATTATGAGCTAGGCATGATCTGAGCACTAAAATACATACACTCCAGTGAGAGAGCAAGAAAATAAATAAGCAAAAAGATACACAATTTAATGTCAGGCAATTATAAGTGCTATAATTAGAAAAAATCATAAGAGAGAGTATTTTACTTTTTTTTTCTTTATTGATTTTTTTTTTTGAGAGAGAGAAGAAGGGAGAGGGAGAGAGACAGAAACATCGATGAGAGAGAACATTGACTGGCCACCTCCCACATACCCCCCACTGGGAATTTGGCCCACAACCTGGGCATGCGCCCTGACCAGGAATCGAACAGGCAACCTCTTGGTGTATGGGTCAATGCTCAACCACTGAGCCATACCGGCGGGGCCAAGAAGAGCATTTCATTATAGGATGAAAGGGGTAACAGAGACCGATGTGGAGTGGGGAAGAGAAATAAGGAAAAAACGTTTTCCAAGCCAAGGTAACTATAAGGGCAAAAGCTTTGAGGCAGGCATGCTTAATGTGTTCAGGGAAGAGCAGAAAGGCCACCTTGGCTGAAGCGCAGTGACCTGGCAGGATATGAAGTCAGGGAGGTATGGGAGAGCCACATGATACAGATGTTTCATAAGTCGATAGATACTTTTTTAAAAATATGTTTTTATTGCTTTTTTAGAGAGAGAGGAAGGGAGAAAGATAGAAACATTGATGTGAGAGAGAATCATAGATCAGCTGCCTCCTATACACTCCCATTGGGGATTGGGCCTGCAACCCAAGCCATGTACCCTGACCAGGAATCAAACCATGACCTCTTGGTGCACGGGATGATGCCCAATCCATTGAGCCACACCAGCTGGGCTTGACAGACACTTTGTATTTTGTTGTCAATGATAGGAAGTCTTCAGGAGTGTATCATGATCTGATTTATATTTAAGAAGTTCCCCAATCCTCCCCGCCAGTGTGGCTCAGTGGTTGAGCGTTGACCCTCACTAAGAGGTCACCAGTTCAATTCCCGGTAGGGCACATGCCCAGGTTGTGGGCCTGATACCAAGGGAGGGGCATGCGGGAGGCGGCCAATTGATGTTCTCTCTCATTAATGTTTTTATCTCTGTCTTCCTCTCCTTTCTTTTCTCTCTAATATAAATAAAGAAAAAAAAAAGTTAAAAAAAAAAAAAGAGGAAGTTCCTCAATCCTTTTAAGAGGTTTGCCTTGGGGAAGTGCTACTTCCCTTCTTCCCTAGAAGTATAAAAGCTACCCTTAATTTGGCATTTATCATTCCCATAAATTTAAAAAATACCTTTACAAATACATAGCCCTGAACAATACAGTATTGTCCTGCATGTTTTTAATACTTACATTCAGTATGTATCTCTCGGCAACTTTTAATAGTATGTACCTGAGATTTACCCATGTTCATAATATAGATTGATTCATCTTTTAACCGCTGTATAGTATTTTATTGTTATGACTATGCCATACTGTTTTTTTGTTGATTTTTTGTGTGTGGCTATTCTCCTACTAATAGACAACTAGGTTATTTCTAATTTTATAAATTATATTTTTACAGTAAACATTCTTAAATATGTCTCCTGTGCCCATGAGAATTTCTTGTGAAAACATTATATTATGGACTGAAACGACCCACAAAATTTATATGATGAAGTCCTAACCCCAATACCTCAAAATGTGACTGAATTTGGAGATAGGGCCTTTAAAGAGATAATCAAGTTAAAATGAGGTCATTAGGGTGGGTAATCCAATGACTGGTATGCTTATAGGAAGAAATTTGGACACAGAGGGAAGACCTTGTAAAAATACAGGGAGAAGAGGCTCACCTACAAGTCAAGGAGAGAGGCATCAGAAGAAGCCAACGTTGCCTAAACCTTATCTCAGACTGTTTCCACAACTAGGAAAAAAAACATTTCTGTTGTTAAAGTACCCAGTCTGCAGTACTTTGTTATGGCAGCCCTAGCAAACTAAGTGTTCAAATTGTGGGTTACAGCCAGTCAATCAGTGGTTCATGATATCAATTGAATGGTGTGTGATCAGCGTATTTTAAACTTTCAGTTCAAAACTTTCATTGAGTAGTACAGAATAAAGACTATTAGACTGTTGCATGGGTAAGCACTACTTTATGAACCTTTTTTTTTTTTTTATCCTTACCCGAGGACACTTCTCCATTTTTTGTACAGACAGAGTGGGAGGGAGAGAGAGGAAGAGAGAGAGAGGGAAACATCGACGTGAAAGGGACACATCGAGTGGCTGCCACCCGCACAACCAACCAGGGCCAGGGACAAACTGCAACCAAGGTACATGCCCTTAGCGGGAACCGAACCCGGCTCTCTCCAGACTGCAGGTGGACGCTCTAACCGCTGAGCCAAACCGGCCAGGGCTGAAACTTTTGTTTCAGTTATATATGTATGTAGATACAAAATATGTAAAGTACATAAAATAGACACACACGTGTGCACTGGGTTGTGATATAAAAATGTTATTTCTTGGTGTGGGTTGAAATAAAAAGGTTTGAAAACCTCTGCTATCATATATATCTAGATAGAAACTTAGGACAATCATTATAAATATGCTTATTTCAACTTTTCGAGAAACTGCCAAATTGTTCTCCAAAGCAACTGTACCAATTTATAGTAAGAGCACCTACATACAAATTCCCATTGCTAAAACACTGTTAAAATTTAATACTGTCATATTTTAATAGCTTTCAAATTGGAAAAGATGAAAATAGTCACTGTTTTAACTTGCAGTAACTCAAGAACTAGTGACAATGAGCATATTCATATATTTATTTTCCAGTCAAGTTTCTTTTTCTGTGAATTCCAGTTCCTGTCTTTTGCTCATTTCCCCTAGACTACATGCTTATTTCACTATACAGTCGTCCCTCCTTTATCGCAGTTAATCAGTTCCAGACTCCAGTGGTTGCAACTGGCATTGAAGGATTCCTGGGGTGCTCGAATACATGGGCCTACAGTCCATACGTACAGTCATTTTATTTTAATTGTAATACAGGGGTGTATAATTGACTCAGACAACCAAGCGCATGCTGTATCATTTTCACTGTGTCGATCAACTTTTTAATGAATATATTTGAAAAAACCGCGATAGAGTGAAGGTGTGAAAGTCGAAGCATGGAGTGGCGAGGGACAACTGTACTTAGAAATGTTCAAAGAGCGGGCTGATTTACAACAAACCACATTTAACAATGAACCCCCAACACAGGGGTATCCCAATCTTTTAGGGCCCTATCATACACATGCATTATTTCTACAGTCAGAAGCAAAAATTGTTTTAACAAAAGGAAAGAAATACCTTAACATTCACAATGGGTCTTGAAGGTAGTCTTAAAGACAACAAAAGTAGCCCTGGCCAGTTTGGCTCAGCAGTTAGAGCGTCAGCCTGCGGACCAGAGAGTCCCAGGTTCAGTTCCCGCTAAGGGCATTTACTTTGGTTGCAGTTTGTCACAGGCCCTGGTTGGGGTTGTGTGGGTGGCAACCAGTCGATGTGTCTCTCTTAAATAAATGTTTCTCTCTCTCTCTCTTCCCCCTTCTCGCCCCCCTGCTCTATCTGAGGATAAATCCTCAGGTGAGGATAGATAAAATAAAAAAAAAAGAAAAAGACAACAAAAGTAAGCTAAATTTTCTGAGATTAAATGGGTCATGAACAAAAGGCTTACTTGCTTAATCAGTTACAAAATACGAATTACAATTATAGAAACCTTCTTAGAAGCTATTCAGAGGCAACTGACTTTTGAGGCCACAAACCATGTATTTAATCAAGGAAGGCACACCCACTCAGAATGCAAACACAGCCTCTACCCATCCCTCTCAATTGCCTATTCTGCCAATAAACACTGCTTCTTTCTTTCAAAAATAGAATCTAATTGAATCTCAACCAATTAACTATCTTGCTCATAGCACTACGAAGTTCCTAGGACATCTAGGCCAACGTAAAAAGCAGGCAAGTCTGTCTTCCCTGAATATCCAAGTTCTAAAGAACTACATTAAGAATACAGTGGTTTATATATTAAATACTGGTCTCATTTCCCAAGAATTTTTATTAGAGAATTCCTGAATACCTCAAATGACTCTGGAATCTTTCAGATCCAGCTAGTAAGAATCGAAATGTTCTTCCTGTTGGAACAAAAGCATTTGAAACAAAAATCCAGTCCCACAAGCTGTAAACAGTTACAACATTTTTGCAGAGCCTTGAGGTCTTCTGGTGTCTGTCTCATCAGGCCCTGTGAAACCTGAACAGGTATAATGGACATTCTAGCTACTCTTCCTGTTCCTGTCTTTTCATTTCTTTTGAGAGTTACTGTTTCTGCTCAGTAGAAACAAGCTCAAAAGCTCGTAGCTATTTAGTAAACCACCTTTCATTAGTTATTAATTTGCAACCTTCTAAGTACTGTATAAGTAGCAGGACCAGCAGTTTGTTCTTCTTGGCTTATTATTTAAATAAGAAAATAACTTGTACCCCAATTCCTCCTTAAGACAGAATCTTATTTATTTTGGTGGCTAGAAGGCTGTCATCCTTCTAATATCTCATTAAAATTGCTACTAAAGAAAAAAAGTTAGGTTCAAAACTATCTCAAAGGCAGACAATTTTTTCCCTTCTATACTTACTAATTAAGAAAAGTAAAATGGGTAACCACATCTCACATGTTCCATAAAGAAATCAAAGATCTAAAAAAAAAAAAAAGTGCTGTTAAGGAGCTTAAAAAAAAACACACCAAACTCTTGGAAATTAAGACCACGGAATACTGCAACATGGTGATGAGAAAATTTCCTGCAAATCCTCCAGAGGTCTTTAAAAATAGGATGGAATCATCTATCAAGATTACTTTTAATAAAGTCCTACAAGAGACAAAGGGACTGAATTACATACCCACCCCCCAAAGGTTCCTTCTAGCTCTAATTCTGCCAAAGCTTCCAATTCTAACTCTTCCAAAGTTTCTCTAATGCTAACTGCCACCCTTTACTTCCAATAAAGATGGACTCTCCTCTCATTCATCTGAATGGCAGAGAGGAAAAATTACTGCTTTATTGCTACTTTTCCTTGTGAAAACTCTGTGTCTACTGTCGTCATTAAAAAACAGTAATGTCACTCTGGGCAGTATGGCGCAGTTGGTTGATTCCCGGTCAGGGCACATGCCCAGCTTTCAGGCTCAGTCCCCTGTGGAGGGGTGTGCAGGAGGAAGCCAGTCAATGTTTCTCTCTCACATAGATGTTTCTCTCTCTCCCTCCCTCTCTCTTCCTCTCTAAAAATCAATGAAAACATACTTTAAAAAAATATATACAGTAATGTCACACCCATGAGGATGGCTACTGTAAAGAAAATAAACATAACACCCAAAACTTCTAAGATGTTTCTCCATTATTCACGCTAATGTATTTCCACACTCACAACACTTCTGACATCAGACTGGAGGACAAGGAGGTTGTGTTTCCACACCAGCAAGCAATACTTCGACAACAGCTCAGTGTCCTACAATTAACTCAATTTTAATGCTATTCACCTGGAGATATTGTCGAATCCCACAAGTTAAGGGCTCAGTCCCACAAGACTAACCTCCATCCCCCAACTTCAGATGTCAATGGCAAATCTAGATCATCACCTGTGTTTCTCAAGATCAGCTATAAATCAGAGATTCCCATGACCCCATCCTCCAGTTTGATTAATTTGTTAAGAGCAGTTCACAGAACTCAGGAAAACTATTTACTTACTCTTTACCAGTATATCATAAAAAGATATGATAAAAGATACAGATGAACATCTAATTTGAGATGCGTAGGGTGAAGTGTGTGGGAAGCGGTATGTTTAGCAACCTGGAAGCCCTCTGAACCACATACTGTTGGGAATTTTATGGAGGTGGCTTCATCATGTAGGCATGGTCAATCATTAACTCCATTTCCAGCCCCTCTCCCCTCTCTGGAAAATAGGAGGTAGGGCTGAGTATTCCAAGCTTCTAATCATGGCTTGGCCTTTCTAGTGACCAGCCTCATCCAGGAGCCCACCCAGAGTCACCTCACAGAACAAGACACTATGGTCACCCAGAACACTCCAAGAGAGTTAGGGACTCTGTGGTCAGGAATCAGAGTCAAAGACCAAATATTAGAACAAAAGATATTCTTAATACACTTACCACTTAGGAAATCACATAGGTTTTAGGAGTTCTGTGCCAGGAACCACAAACATATACATATATATATTTCCTATTATCTCACAGCTACCACAAAAAGAAAAACAAAAAACACAAACAGCCCTGGCCAATTTGGTTCAGCGGTTAGAACATTGGCCCAAGAACAGAAGAGTCATGGATTCAATTCCGGTCAAGGGCACATACCTAGGTTGCAGTTTGCTCTCCAGCCCTGGTTTCGGTTGTGTGGAAGGCAACCCATCGATGTTTCTGTTTCTTTCTTTCTGCCCCCGCCCCCCAACTCTATCTGAAGATCAATGGAAAAATATCCTCGGATGAGGATTAAAAACAAAAGAAAACAACAACAACAACAGAAAGTAACAAGTGATTCCATCCTAAGTTGAGGAGCATCTGCACATTTGTAACAGTGGAAAACTGTAACCCATCCCACTTTTCTTTTGACATTGTTTCTGTAAATGCTGACTCTGACTAACATGTAGCTTGTACATAAACAGCATATTTATATAAGAATCCTAGGAACTAACTTCAAAGATACAGACTCCAATGTTCAGTCATCCCAGTTCTGGGAAATTTGCTGACTTTCAACCATAGAACCAGGATGACAAAGATCAGGATGATGCACACTAGACTATCACTTGACCAGTTTTGAGGTCCTTATTGGAATGGACTGTACTGGACTGCATGTAGAGAACTTTTCACCCCCCTCCCCTAAATTTCTTTGTTCTGCTTTACCTCTCCCTCCTTATAAAAACCTCTGCCTCCCCCTGGCCTGTTTGGCACAGTAGTTAGAGCACTGGCCCACAGACCAAAGAGACTTGGGTTCAACTCAGGTCAATACTTCAGTTGCGGTTCACTCCCTGGCCCTGGCTGGGGTCGTGTGGGAGGCAACCAATCAATGTGTCTCTCTCACATCAATGTTTCTCTCTCTCTCCCCCTCCCACTCTATCTGAAGATAAATGGAAAAATATTCTCGGATAAGGATTTAAAACACACACACACACACACACACACACACACACCCTCAGCCTGCATTCAGAATTTGAGATGGGTTTGTGACAAGAGTTCCTCATCTCCTTAGGTGACCGGCACTTGAATAAAACCTCTTTCCTTTTTCACCAGCATTTGTATAATGAGTTTGGTTTTTGTGGTGGCAGGCAGCTGAACTTGGGTTCCAGTTACACATTTATTCCTTCAAACATATTAACATAGACTCTGGAGAGTGTAATGAGATCTTAGAAGCTTCTAACTTCACTCATAAAAGACAAATGTTAAAATGTGTGAGGAAATGAACATATATACTTGGGTTTAAAAACTGTTGTACTCTAAATTTATATTTTAGTAAAAGCATGATGCACACCTGCACACTTAACAGCTTATACACATAAGATTTTTATAGCACACATACCCTCCAGAAAATGTGGAAAAATTGATCAGGGTTGGAGGACTAACATATCACTTTAATTAAAACAAAAACCACTTTAAAAATATATATATTTTTTATCCTCACCGAGGACACTTTTGCATCTTCAGATAGAGCTGGAGGAAAGAGGGAGGAAGAGAGAGAAACATCAACATGAGAGAGACACATCGACTGGTTGCCACCCCAACTGAGGCCAGGGACGAACCGCAAAGGAGATACATGCCCTTAGTGGGAACAGAACCCAGGACTCTCTGTTCCTTGGACTGACATTCTAACCACTTAGCCAAACCAGCCAGGGCTAAAAAATATTTTAAAAGATACTTTTGGCTCTCATGAAGTTACCAAAAATCTCTCTTCTGCTTAATAGGAAAGAAAAAACTCACAGACAATATTTCTCATATTAGTGTACGAAGCTATATACTTAAATTCTTTGTTTTAAAAAGACTTCTGAGCCCTAGCCAGTTTGGCTCAGTAGTTGGTGCGTCAGCCCGTGGACCAGAGAGTCCCAGGTTCAGTTCCCGCTAAGGGCACGTACCTCGGTTGCAGTTTGTCCCTGGCCCCGGTTGGGGTTGGGTGGGTGGCAACCACTTGATGTGTCTCTCTCAAATTGATGTTTCTCTCTCTCTCTCCCCATCTCTCTCTCTTCCTCCTCCTCTCCCTCCTACTCTATCTGAAGATAAATGCAAAAAAACAAATGTCCTCAGGTGAGGATAAAAAAAAAAAAGAAAGAAAGAAAGAAAAAAAAAACACTTCTGAAAGACTTCTAGAAGCAGCCCTAAACATTCTTTAGGACATTCCACTAGACCGTTCTTCCAAATGCCAGCATAGTGCTTTGAGAGGAATTTCCCCCCTCAGATATATTAGGAAAAGTCAGCCAGATGTTCGAGTCAAACAGATTTTTAAGTTTCATTTTAACAACTTGATATTTCTTCATCATATTAGTCAGCAGTCTCTGAAGAAGACTGCTTACTAAATTGTTAAGGATCATGGGAGGGAAGAATCTGATTTACTACTAAATCAGAATATAACTCCTATGTTAAGTGAAAAGAGCACGTAAATACAAAATACCTCAAAAGTGTGAATACCTTTCTCTTGATTTCCTTTTCCCTTTTAAATAACCCGCTCAGCCCTGGTGGGAGGCCAGTTGATTGCAGCATCATACCAATACACCAAGGTTGCAGATTCCATCCCCGGTTAGGGCACACACAAGAATCAACCAATGAATGCATAACCAAGTGGAACAACAAATCAATGTTTCTCTCTCTCTCTCTCTCTCTCTCTCTCTCTCTCTCTCTCCTTTCCCCTAGCTCTGAAATCAATAAACAAACAAGTAAATAAATTAAAAAACCCAATAATTTACCTGCAATCTATTTTCTGGCTCTTCCCTGGTAGGTTTCCCTGTTATATTCTATACCACAGTTTTGTCTTATTAGCCATTCACATGACAAGGAAAACAACTCTTTCCACTGCTTATAATGAGCCCATTCTTATCATTTCCTCTCTTACACAATTATATCTTTAGAAATGAAATCAAAGCCCTGGCCAGTTTGGCC